ACCCCCGAGTGCCGCCCCCAGAAGCCCCCTGCCGGCCTTGGCAGCACCCCGGCAGCCGTGTTCGCTGGCAGGCTCAGTGGGGAGGAGCCAGCACCTCGGGTGCACGGTTTGCAGTCACAGCAGCAGCCGTGTTTCCGGACAGAATATTTCACATTGAAAGAAAATACCACGCCAGTACTAGCGTGGGCCGGCGGAAGGGGGAGCTGCCGGCTGCAGCACGAGGGGCCAGTTCACCTGCTTCCAGCCTGCAGCCCGGAGGCATATTCTCAATGTTTGTGTTTCACGGCAGTGCTCTTCCAGGGCCCTGTGATCCGTCTCACTCTCCGTAGGCATGTGTAGGTCTGAACGCCTAGAGAAAAGTCTAGAAGGATGCACTCCAGACAGATGGCAGCTGTCAGCTCTGCAGAGGCGGAGTGGGGTGAGGGTCGGGGGCGGCCAAGGGCACTTGACTTTCTGTGGAGACCAGATTCCTTGCTAGCTGTGCAGTCAGGGATTTTCTCTAAAACGTACCATTTCTGACCCGAGAAGAGAAAAGGCAGTTCTGGGCATGAAGGGTGCGGACGCTGCGGCTCCCTGCGGGGAGCTCACCCCTGCTCCCCCTGTGAGGGCCAGGACGTGCAGGCCTGCTGAGTCACGGGCTGCAGGGGCAGAGTGCTCTGTGGGAACACCTGCCAGCCGCAGGGGAGGGGAGTCCTGGACCCCCAGCGTTCTGGACCCTCCTAGCAGCCTTGTCCTTCTCTCCTTCACAATTGGGGTGCTGCCAGCCCATGCTGTGAGGGGCGTATGCGCGTTTCCAGGACCCCTGGGAGTGACTGCTAGGCTCTGCTCTGCCCAGCCCTGGTCTGCAGGGGTGCAGGGTGGGCGATCCTGCCACCCCAGGGCTGCCCAACACCCCCTCCTGCCTCCAGTGTCTGGCCATTAGAAGCCCGGGGAAGGCCATGCTCCAGCCGCAGGCCTGCAGGACCACTCCTGACTGGACCCCCTGGGCTTCCCTGCCAAGTGGACCACAGAGCTGCCCCTCCAAAGTGGTGGCAGGGCTTAGAGTGTGACAGCCTCACCTGGGCTCACACTTGCACACGTGGGCACACCCCTCCACTGAGCCTCTTAGACACCCTGTCACCTTCCCAGGGGCTGGACCTGTGCTTCTCCTGTCGGAGACCTGCCGGGATCTCAGCTCCGCGACTCGAGGGGCCTCCCTGGGGCTGGCCCAGTGCTGGACGTCGGATGTCAGAAATAAGCCACCATGACCGGGCGCGGTGACGGGGCAGTCCGACCACCGTGACCGGGCGCAGAGACGGGGCAGTCCGACCACCGTGACCAGGCGTGGTGGCCGGGCAGTCCGACCACTGTGACCACAGCGCAGCAGCATTTTGATGTAAAAGCTCGTGGAACACCAGGGAGAAGGGAGAGGCGGGCTGAGTGTGCGGGAGTGTGGACACTCCTCTGGGGGAGAGGCGGGCTGCGTGTGCGGGAGTGTGGACACTCCTCTGGGGGAGAGGCGGGCTGAACCGTGTGGCCTCAGCCCGGGAGATGGAGCGTGGGAGATAACCCTCCAGGACGGGGGGCAGGGATGGCCCTGCCGGGCTCCCGAAGCGCCGGGC